AATAAATCTAAAAAATTACACAAATCAGGAACTTCTCTACGGCTTCCAAATGCTATGAAAATAAGTAAAATTATGATGTGTAAGCATACATGTATGAGGACATGGACGTGTGTAGATATGTGAGAACGTATACACACATATAAAACTATTAAAGTTTAAAATCAAAATTCTAAATGGATTTCTGTAGACTTCAAGTAAATTTCAAGTATGATGCATTGCATTACACAAAATTTAAAGTCCAAATTTAAAACAGGAAAGTAAAACCAGATTCATTCAAAAGATGCAAACTTTCCTACACAGTATCCATGTTCAGTTGGCAAAGATGTCAGAGTAAAACATGGGCCAGATATCAAAATACACAAAATACCACTACATATTCCATGAAAAATCTGTATAATGGCAAATTTCTTCATTTTGCTCAGTTCATAAATCAAGATGCTCGCAGGTTTTAAGATATTTGATGTTTTTCCCTAATAGTTTAACAATTGTGTTTTCTCACTTCAATTTACAATTCTCCACATAAGAAATTGTTATTAATACATTTACAGATATGGATTATCTGTAAATGTTACATTAACCCGGCCAAACGAAGTCTCAGAAATGTTATTACTTTTTCAATCTGAGAGTAGCCCTAAATAAGATTCTCCTTTACTATAAATGAAAACACACACTTTAATTCCTGACATAATCTCTGCTTTGGAAAGTTGTGGTTTAAAGCAAAACAAACAGAAAAACCCACCATCCCTAGTTACAGCCTCAACTCTATTTTTATTGCTGAAGACATTTTTAGATGGAAGACTTACATGTAGTCAGATATGTAAGAGTAAACTGATGAGTTCATTCTAAGAAATCTCCTTTAAAATAGTAAGTTTAATATCTCCAATTTCAAATCTGATATTGGAAAAGAAAAAAAGATGAAGAAAGAATAAAAAAGAAAAAAGACCCTTTTGATCAATTTTAGGACAAAACATTTGTTAAGGAAGAAAAACAAAGTGTAAACAGGACATAGTTGTAACTACATTCTTAACTTTTCAACAACCAATTTAATCCATTTAAACATCATTATTTAGTGATACGAGATAAAGAACTGACCACATGAATGAAAAAAGATGTCAGTGTTTTGAAAGAGAAGAATTAAAAGAATAATTTCAATAATATTTCCCCTTATAACTAATCCTAATTTGCACTCTTTCAAACTGAAGTCCCCCTTTCAACTCCACACATACACATAGTCTAAACATACCTGTATTCAAGAAATGATATGCAAAAGCAGTGACAACAATAAAAAAAGATAAGAGACAGAGGTAAAAGGAGCAAGAATAGAAGTTTCAGGGCATTTCTCAATTTTAAGAATGAACTTGCCCAAAAAAAGATTTCTAGTAAGTCTTGTTGAAATGGGATAAAGAAAATGGTATATGGAAAGTATATGGGAAAAAAAGAAAAACTGGAAAGTTGCAATTTCAGATTTCTTGACAAAATTGGACTATATAGCTTAAAATGCATGATACTTTCATCAGAGTTAATTTATTGTTTCCATCTGATTCTCCCAAGATAAGCAGAACTTAAATTCTACATTATACAAGAACTAAGTTTCTTCTTAATACCTTCACAGTTTCTTCCAAAATCAGAGAAAGAATAAAATAAATCTGTAAAGCAGGGGGGGAAAAAAAGTGAACATCTTAACTCCTTGTAATTCTAACATAATTGAAATAACTAAAAACTATACTTCAGAGTAAAATGAAGCCATGCAAACTATACTTATATTATATACCTAAGGAAGATAAAACTTGATTTTATGCCCACCCCCTCTGAAAATTTGCATTGATTGGGCAAAAAAAGCCAACTAAATACACACAAACACATGACTTATCTTTAATTGTGCATAAATCTACAAGATGGAGCAAAAGAAGGTTTCCAGTTGTTCATATGAAAAATTAATAATCCTATATAATAAAAAGGTAATATGCAAATTGACCCTCATGCCCTCACAGGCTGAGGGGGCTGCCAGGGGGGTTAGTGATTGGCAACCAAATGACTGAAAAAGCAGGCTACAATGGGCAACCAGGCCGGCAGGGACATTAGTGAGGGACCACCAAATGACTGAATTGAGGCTGTGTGGGATGTCCAGGCCGGCATTGGGGAACAGTTGGGAGTGACCAGGCTGGCAGGGAGGGCAGTTAGGGGTAACCAGGTTGGCAGAGGGGACAGTTGGGGGATCCAGGCTGAGAGGGGGGGCCGTTGGGGGTGATTAGGCTGGCGGGGGGTGGGGACAGTGAGGGGCGACTAGGCCAGCGGCGGGAGCATTGGGGGTGATCAGGCCAGCAGGGGGGGCAGTGAGGGGTGATCAGGCCGGCAGAGAGTTGTGGGGGCAGTTAGAGGTGACCAGGCAGGCAGGCAGGGGAGCAATTAGGAGCCAGCAGTCCAGGATTGTGAGAGGAATGTCCGACTGCCGGTTTAGGCTCAATCCCCGGGATTGGGCTGAAACCAGCAGTCAGACATCCCTCAAGGGGTCCCAGATTAGAGAGGTGCAGGCTGGGCTGAGGAGACTGCCATCCCGTGCATGAATTTCATGCACCAGGCCTCTAGTTGATAAGAATAATTGTGTTTTGCATAATCACAGCTGTATACCTACTTTTGCCCCATGCTGTATATAAACATACTTCATGGCTATAACATACACCAAGTATGGGAGATGAGAAACCCTCAGAAGAGATTAATTCTTGTGGGAATACAATTTGAAAAAGCTATCCAGACTATCCTAACTTCTCCATCCACCGCACCCTGAGAATCGTTTAGGGAATCCCTAAAAAAATTCAGTAGCCAAATGATTCAGGTTATATTTCAATAAAGATAATCCAGCACAATTGTGTAAAAATGAGTGAGAATTAGAAAAAAAACAAAACAAACAAACATTAAAGACTGAAAATTTACATAAGCAGCTGATTTTCCAGGCAAGAAGCTAAACAAATTTAAATTACATTAGTATTAGTGGGGAAAATATATGGTAGACAGGAAAGAAAATGTTTAAGACACAAGACAATAAACTCACAGAAGGATATATGCATTCTAAAATACTGGTCATTGAGTTTAGATCTGGAAAAAAAGATCTGAACATTATCTAGCATGAGGCAATAAAACTATTATATAATTGGTATAAAGCAACTAAAAGGTGGCAAGGTAAGTATCCCAAAGACACTTTTTAAAAAGTAAACAGGTATTGAAGCATTTGGTTCCTTTATTACAAATAACTGTTTTCATAGTTTACAAATTTCATGCTGATAATCATCATTAATTTTAACCCTATAATTTTTTTCCTTTGGTTAATTCTCACCAGAGAATAATATTTCCCATTGGGTTTTAGAGAGAATTAAGGGGGAGGTGGGGGAGAGGGCAGAGAGACACAGAGAAATATCAATGTGAGAGAAACACATCCACTGGTTACCACCCACATGCGCCCTGACAGGATCGAGCCTGCAACTGAGATATGTGCCCTTGATCAGAATTGAACCCAATACCCTTCAGTACACAAGCCGACACTCTAACCACTGAGTAAAATCAGCTAGAGCTTTACACTATAAATTAAAATTTAAAAAAGCAAAGCACACCAGGGTCACATAAAACAATTAAAAAAAAAACACAAAACAGAGCATTTCAATAATTTCCAATCTGGAGCAACTTAGACATTCTTTGTGCGCATGTGTATCTGTGGGTGTGTCTGTGTATAAACAGTAAAAAAAAAAAAACCCAAAAAGTCCACATTTCTGAAAGCAGAACCTGACAGCAACCAAGAAGGTATGATATAATTAGGAAGAATTAGTGTTTAAATTTCTAAATAGTTTTATTATAAACATTCAGTTATCCAGTTTAATCAATGAAAAACTGTTGTTATACCATAGTATCAAATTGTTGTCTCCTAAAAAAAAATTTTAAGTGGTAGGAATATTTCAGTTAACTATTTTTAAATCAGGTATTTAAAAAGTATTATTAAGACATAAAGGCAATGTCAGCTTTGTACATTAAAAAGTACAGTTTAGAGTCACATATGAGATGAAAAAGAAAAATATCTATCATTTTCTGTTTTTAAGAGTGTTATAAATATACCAAATGACTTTAAATTATAGTCACTTTGATTAACATACCTTTTCACAAACTTCCCGCAAGAGTGAGAGTGTGAGGTTGAGAGAAGGAAAAGAAGAAATGGAAGGAGGGAAGGAGGAAAACCATTAGAATGAAACTAGGGGGTAAGAGGAGGAGAGGAAACCTAGGAGAATCAGCTAACAAAGCACAAATGATGAAAATCATCACATTGCCCCAAAACAGATATACTAAGCTAAGAGAATGATGCAGTTTTTTTGCTACAAGCTGGGTGTGATAAAGACTATTAAAAATCATGCAGGTTATCTACCTGTACTACTGTGCAAGTATTTTTCTCAAAATATCTGCAAGTTAAAGGAATATCATAGGACAGTGATTTTCAAAATCACAGAATTTTTAAAACATGCAGTACCTATTTAGTCAGGTCTATTGATCTCTTTTCCCTTAGACTTTTCAATAAAAAAAAATAATACAAACCAACACAATAGCTATCTGGTATGAATGAACCAAAATTATAACTATCCTTTTTTGTCAAATTGGCAAAAATATATATATATTTTGGGGTGCCGCAGAATTTTAGTAATTAGTTTACATGTGCCATGATATGAGAAAGGTTGAAAATTGCTGTTACAGGAAGTCATAGGCTATTGGTTACCCAAAGCAAACAACACACAATCTGCAATCTATCTAAATGATTAGACAAACGGAGATGGCCGATATAAATGTGCCTGTTAACAATTTGTCAAAATGTGTTTTTGTGCTACTTCGTGACTAATTTTTGCATAAGAAAAAATTCCTTCGAAGGAAAAAAAGAAGTCCAAAAAATTTTTAAAAACTACATGTTATATAATAACATTGTGGTTAAATTTACACATGGCAAAGGAGTTTTGAAAAATGTGAAATACCTCAGTCTGACCTTCATGGGCACTGGTCTCATGAGTAACTCGAATAGCCTGTAATAAGAATGCAAGGTATTAATAGGGGGGGAAAAATGACTATATCCTACTTTTTAAATGAAAACAATACTAAATACTGATGAAATAACAAATTGAAGTAAACGCAGGAAAAGTTTAATTTGAAATATTTAAGAATGAATTGCTATACTTTCCAACCCACAAATCTCTGCATACTTAGGATATTAAATATTAGTAATTTCCAGGTGCAAGTGGGAATCCTAACTTAATTGTTAGGACTAATATTTAACAGTTTAGTCAACTGAGACTAGAATGAAGTTAGCATCTCAGGACAGAGACGGAAAAAGCTTAGCTCATCTGTTTCTTCAGGTTACATGCTCCTCTGTAGCTCTGGCTGTAGTTATGCTTAACCATGCAGCTTCAGGCAGCAGTTTAGAAATGTGGAACAAAAGCATGCATTTATCAGAAGCTAGGGAGTTTAGTTTCCTGAACTTAAAAAAAGGTTCTCTTCTAATACCATTATTAGCAAAGATGAAGAGAAATAGGTAAAATAGTAAATTATAGGTAAAAGTACAATCTCAATGCATGGCAATTTAGCAATAATTATCAAAGCCTTAAAAACATGCACTGTGTTTGATCCAGCAATTTCTCTTCTACAAGTTTATGTATTTACATATAATTGTAGGTAAGTATATATAATTATGGATATTTGCAAAGATTTAGCTACAATGATATACCGGGTTGTATTTTTTAAACAGTGAAAAGAGAAATAAAAATACAATAATTTGTTGGTTAAATAAAATACTACACAATGGAAAGCTATGCAGCCATTAAATGATGATGTCAAATATATACTTACTGGTATGTAATACGTTTGTGATAAGTTAAGTGAAAAAAGTAAGTTATAAGACAATATTATAGTGTTATTAAATATTTGTTTTTAAAAAGTGTGTATATACATATATATACTCCCTGTAAAAAATATTAATGGTGGCCACATCTCATTGGTGAGATTACTATTGACTTTTGTGTTATTTCATTTTTATGTAAAATGAAGATGTTTTATGAGCTCTGCAGGTTTTTTAAAGAAAAAGCAATTTAAAATAGTCCAATTATATTACAATGGTAAAAATAAATACTCAAATCAATAAATTTACTGGGAACAAACTCTGCATAAAGCACTATTCTAGCTGAGTATTATATACACCACAGTGTTTCTAATTTCAAAGAACTTACAATTTGCTTAATGTTACCAACAGGTAGAAAGCCTAATGTTATATCGTATGTCAAGTATAACTGAAAAATAAATTTTAAAAAAGGTAAAATGCATTCAAAAGAAAAACAGATTTCAAAAATAATAAAATTTAAATACTATTCTAAATGCTATGAAATGGTACAATCGTTTAAAACTAGATTTTGTGGCCTCTGTCTTCACACATGCAAAAATATTTTGCTGATAAAAGAACTAGAGTATGACCTAACATCTATCCTTAAACCTTTGTTTTTTTCCATTGGTCTCAGCCTTACTCCAAATTCCCTGGGAAAAGACAGATGGAACATATATTTATTGAAGGGAAGGAATGGTGAGAAATAGCCTATCATAAGATATTTATCAACTTGTAAAACAAACTGCTCTTTCTCTTTCATTCAGCTCTGAACATAGAAATGAAGCAGTAAGTTTATGGATATTTCAGTACTGTTATCTGAAATATATATTTTAAAAAAAGCCTTTTTAATGGCTGCAACCAAATTCATAATTGTTCAAACTGACAGTTTCAAGACATAACCCCAAACTGAATCTACAACCCCATAAAACTTTGCCCACATATGAAATCAAGACCAATAGATGGTACAGACATCATAGTTCTCCAGATATCTGGCTCGTTCTTCAGGGCTCATTGACACAGACTCTTCTAGGAATTTTTTCAAGGTTGATCCAGATTCTGAAAATATTAAAGAAGATATAATTAAAAAGGTTTCATATCTCAAAGAGACTGATATATGAAAATACTAGAAGCATGCTGCCTTATTTTTCAGGTAAAACCCTTTTACCGGTAAATTAGGCATGTAAGAATATTGGCCTAAATGATAGGCTTAAGTTATTTGTTTCTTAAACCTCCACTTATCAACAATATTAAAAAAAGAGGAGGATTATTAGTTCTTCTAACAGTATATACATCACCGTTATAAATGAAAGAAGGGAGGAAAATAGTTTATGTAATACTTTGAAACAAGGAATTAGAGCACCACCTAGTGCTCAATAAGTTATCTTATACTTTGAAGGGTGAAAACAGTAGTAATGAAAAGTTATTTACCAAAATGCATCTTGTCTTTATTGTTGGCAATAGCATGGATCAGTCCAATTGTTCCACAGGCATTGCTGATTGTTTGCTTCATGAAATATACTGATGATTTAACATCTTGTCCCTGAGATTTAATTTTTTCCTCCTCTTCTGTCCTGAATACTTCATACTATTAAAGAAAAATAGTTGAAATATGAAAACAATATATTAAAAAGGACTTAAACATAAAACTTCAAAAATTCTAACTGTATGGGATATCTTACTAAAATACTATAAAGCACTTTTTTTTAAAAAAAAGTAGATTTACATATTCTTACTTAGAAATTTATCTATGATTACAGAGTGCTTGTCGGTCAATATACATGAATAAAATTCTAATTTATATTTTTAACATATTTATTTTATATATGCATTGAAAATCTGAAAGGATATAAAAAAACCCTCAAGTTATCTCTGGGATAAGAGATTTCTAGAGGATTTTTACTTTCTACTTTCCATATTTCTGTATAGTTGAATCATCCTATAATAAAAAAAACTCACACTATATTTATAAGCATACAATATTGATAACATTCACCATTATATCTAATAACTGGTTGTAAAACCAATATGGTATAATGTTGAATGACAAAAATGTGAGCTCTACATATGACTGCCAGAGTTCACATCCTTGCTTTGCCATTATTAGCTGTGCAGCTTCGAAAAATTATTTACTAAAGGTTAAAAATGAGTGAGTAGAAGCAGAAGGGGGAGAGTAGAAAGATGACTTTATTGTTTTGTCTATAATTTTCAAATTCCAATAGAGTAGGAGTCAGCAAACTAGAATCTACAGGCCAAATCAAGTCAACTGCCTTTTTCAAAAGTAGTTTTATTTTTCTACTGTCTACAACAAACTAAAAAGTTTTTGCACATAGAGGTATCCATCAACAATACTTAGCGTAGACAGCCTAATGATTGGAAGAACATATTCATAAGGGGTTGATATTCAAAATTTTTAAAGAATCATACAACTCACAATAAAACAAACACCACAATCCAATTAAAAAATGAGCCAAGAATCTGAACAGACACTTCTTCAAAGAGGACATACAGATGGCCAACAGACATATGAAAAGATGCTCAAAGTCACTAATCTTCAGAGAAATACAAATTAAAACGACAATAAAGTTATCACCTCACACCTGTCAGAATGGCTGTCATCAATAAATTAACAAACAACAAGTGTTGGCGAGGACATGGAGAAAAGGGAACACTTGTGCATTGTTGGTGGGAACGCAGACTGGTGTAGCTACTAGGAAAAACAGTATGGAGCGTTCTCAACAAATTAAAAATGCAACTGCCTTATGACCCAGTGATTCCACTTCTGGGTATATATCTGAAGAAATACAAAACACTAATTCTCCTCACTCATTTTTAATCTGTGTTCATCATTGCAGTGGTATTTTCAATAGCCAAGATATGGAATCAACCCAAGGATCCGTCAACAGACAACTGTATAAAATGTTGTGGTACATAAATACAATTGAATATTACTTGGTCATAAAAAATGAAATATTACCATTTACAACACTATGGATGGTTCTAGAGGGTATTTTCCTAAGTGAAATAAGTCAGAGCAAGACAGATACCATATGATTTCACTTATATATCGAATCTAAAGAACAAAGTAAATAAACATACAAAATAGAAACAGACTCAAAGATACAGAGAACAGACTGATGATTACCAAAGGGGAGAGAGGTTAGGGGGCTGAGTGAGAAAGGAGAAGAGATTAAGAAGTACAAACTGGTAGTTATGTTTTTATAATAAATTCTGAACCATTATTTCATTCATATAAGTTCAGTTGATAAAAACTTAGATGTTCAATATAGTAAGATCTTATCCTGATATGCTTGTATGGTTCTACAATTCAGTTTCTTGTTGCTGTTTAATATTATTGTTCCTTGCTAAATATTTGAAAACTTCACAAGATTTAATGCTTCAAAGAGAAATCCTAAAACGATACCAAAGCAAGTATAGAAAAAAAAGAAAATGTACTTACGGCAGATCTAAGTGAAAACACATACGTAGTCAAGAGACAATCAAAATATTAGAAAGAAATAATTTATAACCTTTCCACTTACGATTCATTGGCTGGTAAACTCAACTATAAAGCACACATTGAAAACCATAATTGACTTTATTTAAAGAGTAATGGGGTACTCATGACAGTTCTTTTGCTATTAGTATGCTTAAGCCATTTGCAACAACATAATCAGTTCCTAAATTAGAACACAGAAGACCAAAACGCTTTGTATCCCTTAAAACATCCACTAGATATCATTAGAGTAACTTTAATATATCACTTATGAGTTGAAATGGGGAACCTACAAATTGTAAGAGACATGAAAACGTTAACAGATACCACCATATTCTCTACTTATATAAGTATTTCTGTAAGTTATTTACAGATACTTTTAAAATTATTTTAATACTTAACAGTATCTATAAATAACTTACAGAAGTGTGTGCTCTTTCTAGCAATCTTAAAATAAAGCTTTTCAGTACTAATGATCCACTTAAAGAAGAAGTCCTATTGATAATAAAAATAATGCTCTTTTTAATACTGATGACCCACTAAATAAAGGAGATCAAATTCTACTTATTCCTTTAAAAAAAAAAAAAGTAGACCATAAAAATAAATGGTTTGGAAAATTCCCAATTCAGACATAGACTCATATTTATATCACATACCAACTAAAAAAGCCTAAGTTTTAAGAAGTTAACACTGGAGTAGGAGAGTATAAATTTAAGTATTTGTCCTACTCTTCCTCAAATTCCAGAATAATCACAACCTCACCACTAAAAGTAGGTGTTCAGTCTAATACTGGATAACCACAAGAAATTTCTAACTCTAAATTTCTATGAATATTACAAACAGCTAATATGAAGAAATATCCCTTCTTTAACTAATTTGTTTTACAGCACTCTTAACTAAAAAAGAAAAATATTTCAGTATTTATTTTATCTTAAACTCAGGTTAATTAGTTTTGGTATAAAGAAAATGATACAGGAATTTCTAGGACTGACAAAAGCCTAATTCTTAATTTCTGTGAGACACAGCTCCTTCTATTACTGAAAAATAAGATGATGTGAGCATTTTATGCCAAATCATCAACACCTCATTTCTCATATACCTTCCCAAACATATAATTCATTTTTTTAAACTACCAAGTTCATCCTATTGTTTCTAAGTTTAAATAAAAATCAGAAACATTGGGACTTACAAGCTGTATTGAAATAAACTTAAATGTTCTGGCTCCATAATACATATATCTATAATATATGTCATCATTCTAGAAGAAAGGCCTGAAATACAGTGACTGCAATTTAAATAGGAATCTAATAACTATAATTCCAACACATCCTAAACCTGCCAATTAAACTATATTTAATCTTTTAAAAAATATATTTTATTGATTTTGTACAAAGAGGAAGGGAGAGAGATAGAGAGTTAGAAACATCAATGAGAGAGAGTCATCGATCAGCTGCCTCTTGCACAGCCCCTACTGGGGATATGCCCACAACCAAGGTACATGCCTTTGACCGGAATTGAACCCGGGTCCCTTCAGTCCCCAAGCCGACGCTCTATACATTGAGCCAAACCGGTTTCGGCTAAACTATATTTAATCTTAAGTGTTTCCACCCAAAACAAGTTTATCCTGAAAATAATGTAATCCATGCCATTAGTTATACCTATCACCTTTAAAAAAAGCAGATTTCTTTTTACATATATATTTTTTAATTTACATATTTTATATATTGAAAATTTGAACATATTCTTAATTCATATATTTTCTAAGACAGGTTTAAGATCATCATATTACTTAACTTTTTAAAATATATATTTTATTGATTTTGTACAGAGAAGAAGGGAGAGAGATAGAGAGTTAGAAACATCGATGAGAGAGTCATCGATCAGCTGCCTCTTGCACAGCCCCTACTGGGGATATGCCCGCAACCAGGGTACATGCCCTTGACCGGAATCGAACCCGGGACCTTTCAGTCCCCAAGCCGACGCTCTATACATTGAGCCAAACCGGTTTCGGCTAAACTATATTTAATCTTAAGTGTTTCCACCCAAAACAAGTTTATCCTGAAAATAATGTAATCCATGCCATTAGTTATACCTATCACCTTTAAAAAAAGCAGATTTCTTTTTACATATATATTTTTTAATTTACATATTTTATATATTGAAAATTTGAACATATTCTTAATTCATATATTTTCTAAGACAGGTTTAAGATCATCATATTACTTAACTTTTTAAAATATATATTTTATTGATTTTGTACAGAGAGGAAGGGAGAGAGATAGAGAGTTAGAAACATCGATGAGAGAGTCATCGATCAGCTGCCTCTTGCACACCCCCTACTGGGGATATGCCCGCAACCAGGGTACATGCTCTTGACCGGAATCGAACCCAGGACCTTTCAGTCCCCAAGCCGACGCTCTATCCATTGAGCCAAACCGGTCCCGGCAACTTTTTAAAAAATATTTTTTATTTATTTACAGAGAGAGATAATTAGAAACATCAATTAGCTGCCTCCTGCACACCTCCCACTGGGGATGTGCCCGCAACCAAGGTATGTGCCCTTGACCAGAATCGCACCTGGGACCTTTCAGTCTGCAGGCTGATGCAGTATCCACTGAGCCAAACTGGTTTCAGCTACATTTCAGAACATTTCTAAAGTATATACATCAAACCTTGGCCAGTGTGGCTCAGTTGGCTGGTTGATGTCCTGCGCACTGAAGGTTTACTGGTTCGATTCCCGGTCAGGGCATCTGTTCGGGTAGTGGGCTCAATCCCTGGTAGGCAGTGTGCAGGAGGCAGCCAATGGATGTTTTCCTCTCACACATCAATAATTCTCTCTCCCTCTCCTTTCCTCTCTGTCCAAAAATCAATAAAAATTTCTTAAAATAAATGGAAGTATATACAGAAAAATGTGAGTAAATGTTGCATCAACCATAGTTAAGGCAATCTCACCAAATTTTTTAAAGAAGGAAATTACACAAGTTTAAAAGATTAACTCAGGATTTTATTGTCAATCTATAAATCAAAATCTAAATATTATCTCTTCAATGAAACTAGATTTTAAGGTATCCCCACTACCTAGATTTCTTCTTTTTATGCAAAAATGGAGTCATCTGTTGTTAAAGAAGAGCATAATATTTAATAGAATAAAAGAGAACTTTGCATTTACTGAAAACTTTTACTTAACAATTACCTTTTCTGTAATAGGGAAGAGAAGTAATACTGCACATACTGGTCTTGGTACCATGCTAAGGAGTTCAGGATCCATTCCATATACATCAACAAACTGCCATTTAGGATGTAGACCTAATTGTTTGAGAAACTGGTAAAAGAAGGGGGGGAAATATATATATAGTGTTAATAAGGAAATAATCAACATGTAAATACTATGTATCTACCGTTTATATATATATATAAGCCTAAGCAATCTTTACAACCAAATGACATGAACGATAGGTTGTCCAGTCGCTATGACACACACTGACCACGAGGGGGAAGATTCTCAACACAAGAGCTGCCCCCCCTTGCCAAAACTGGTTTGGCTCAGTGGATAGAGTGTCGGTCTGCAGACTGAAAGGTCCCAGGTTCGATTCCAGTCAAGGGCATGTACATTGATTGCAGGCACATCCCCGGCAGGGGGTGTGCAGGAGGCAGCTGGTCTTTGTTTCTCTCATCGACGTTTCTAGCTCTCTATCCCTCTTCCTTCCTCTCTGTGGAAAACCAATAAAACATATTTAAATTTTAAAAAAAGAGCTGCCCCCTGGTGGTCAGTGCACTCCCACAGCAAACTTCCTGTGGCAGCTTCCCAACCCGCACACAGCCAGCTGGCCAACCTCCTGCGACCCTTCCCCTGACCAGTCAACCTCCCATAGCCCTTCCTCCTGCATGGCCAACCTCCTGCGGCCCCTCCCCTCAACTGGCCATCTCCCCTCAATCAGCCCAGATTGGGGGGCACCAGCTGGCCAACCTCCTACAGGCCTTCACCCCAGCCAGCTATCCACCCTGACTGGCTGGCTAACCTCCCGTGGTCATTCCCCATTGCCGGCCGGTCCCCCAATAGGCCCCAATCACCAGCCAGGCTGAGGGACCCCACCTGTGCACAAATTCATGCACTGGGCCTCTAGTCTAATACATAAAAGGGAAAGCAAGATACAAATATTACTGATATTCAATAAAAATAAAATAGCTTTCCCATAAATAGGGAATGAAACTAAGCAAAATGTTTTTCAAAATCCATTACTTTGGGACAGAACATAATAAGCCAGGATTTCACCAAACCCATAGAAGTCCTAGTAGATAATTATTTTAGAAGATCAACACAATTTATCCTACTTACCAAGGATGCCTGAAGTTTAAAAATAAGTAGATATCATAAATATTATCAATAAGTAAAGAGTCTTTAAAGCCAAAAAAAGTCCAATAGACTTGTGCGAACACCCGAGAATGCTTGATATAAGGAGTATACTACTGGCTTCCTGACCTCTAGTACACAATGAAATCTAGTCATCTGTACTGATTCTTATATCTGGCAAAGCAACTATAACAAAAGAATAGTGTTTTGTTTTTGTTGTTAATCCTCACCCAATTATATTTTTTTCATTGATTTTTAAGGGGTTAGGGGTGGGGAGAGAGTTTGAGAGAAACATTGATGTGAGAGAGACACATAGATTGATTGCCTCCCAATCAGGTACATGCCCTTCACTGGGAATTGACCCATGACCCTTCAGCGTGCAGGTCATTGCTCTAATCACTGAGACCACTGGCCAGGGCAAGAATGGTGTTTTTAAATTAAGATTTCATAGGAAAATAAAATGTCAGGCCCTAATCTTCTGCAGAGAGAAAAAAGAGAAATGTAATAATGAGAATTATGACAATTTCATAAATTCTTAACAAATGTCTGTACTGAATAAAGATGGTTTTTTAAAGTGTACTATCACAAAATAAGTTTCAGATGACAGAAAAAAAAATGAGAAGAGGAAACAAAAAAATCATATTAAGAATTCATCATTATACCTTACCTCAAAAATACATGATAGCATTTATTGGTCTAACATCATCTGAAATTTAAAAATAAAGAGGTGCTTGCCCAGTCAGCATGTTTCAGTGGTTGAGTATTGACCTATGAGCCAGAAGGTTACGGTTCCATTCTGGGTCAGTGCATATGTCCGGGTTGTGGGCTCAATCCCCTGTAGAGGATGTGCAAGTGGCAGCCGATCAATGGTTCTCTCTCATCATTGATGTTTCTATCTCTCCCTATCCCTTCCTCTCTGAAGTCAATAAAAATATATTTTAAAAAATAAAATAGTGGCCGAGGTATTTCTCCCTAAAGAATGATCACATGTTCATCAGATCAGATCTTGCTAACTTGGCAATTTTCAACCTTTTGCTTCTCATAGCACACATAAACTGATTACTAAAATTCTGCAGCACACCAAAAATATATTTTGCTATTCTAACAAAAAATAGGTATAATTTTGATTTACAAAATAATAACTATAGTAATTACCTAACCTTTTTGCTCCAAAGTGACTTTTAAAAGAATCGGTGTCTGCCCAGCTGGTGTGGCTCAATGGTTCAGCAATGACCTATGAACCAGAAGGTCACAGTTCAATTCTGGGTCAGGGCACATGCCAGGGTTGCAGACTCAATCACTAGTAGGCGGCATGCAGGAGGTAGTTGGTCAATGATTCTCATTTTTGATGTTTCTATTTTTCCTCCCTTCATCTGATTCAATAAAAATATATTTTAAAAAAATCAGGCATCTGTACTTAGATATAAGTATTTCTAGTATCAAGAATTAACCAATCAGATGCAACAATACTATACAACATGACCAATAACATGCAACTTTATTATATGACCTATATATTTATGATTTAAGACAGGTCATTCACACAGAACAGCTATTGTTGCATTGACTGTTGTCATTTTCTTATTTCACAATCTAAGGAAAAAGAGGTCAGTGTCCCTGACTGACAGTCAGGTGTTGCATGTTTTAAAAATCCTTACATCATACCAGTTGAAAATCGCTGTGCTAAATTGATGGAAAGTAAGCCATGTTACATAAACGATATTATTAATCTTACACACAGGTATTCCCATCTATTTCTCAGCCAATAGAAGAAACTTTACTTAATGATAACATGATTGGTCAAAATTAAGGTCTTAGATATACTAGTATGTTTATTTAAATATTTTTTTAATTGATTTCAGAGATGAAGGGAGAGGGAGAGAGAATCATTGACTGGCTGCCTTCCAGGCCATATGCCCTGTCTGGGAATCAAACCTAGGACCCTTCAGTCCACAGGCTGACACTCTATCCACTGAACAAAACCGGCTAGGGCTATATATTTGTTTATTTGTGTCATATTAAAGAGGTAAAAAAAAATACATTTGGCTATTAATCTAAATTCAGGCATTCATTTAATCAACTTCAAATATTACCTGCACAGTACTGACAGCCCTAACCCTGATAAGAGGATTTAAATGTATTAATATAAGTAATGTTATGTACCCCCAAAAGCCATATTGTAATTAAGTTATAAGCTAACAAGTATAAAAAGGTGGCAATTGTAGTGAGACTGAGTAGTATCAAACTGCAGACATAATTAATGATTAAATTAAATAGAAAAATGAATTAAATTAAATACAAAAACTATCATTGGAGTCATAGTTTTTCTTAATGTGTTACTTATATCGCCAAATCAAATGAGATTGATATAAAGTTCAATTAAAGTAGTATCTATTAAGTATAAGATAAGTCGTCAACTTTTACCTCTTTAAATCTTAAAGGTGTTTTACTTTTATAATTTAAAACCAACTCTTCTGTGGGTTTGATGATTATAGGCAAATAAAGAAAAATAAGAAAAAAATGTCTCTAAAATATTAACAGCAGTTAGCTTGAATAGTGTGAACTCAATTTTTTATTTCTCAATATGTAAAAAAAGTAAAATTTTGTAATAGCTAAATGCATCTTCTAAGTGACAAATCGATAGAATTGATTCATGTGTATTTTATTTAAATTCACAAAACTGGAAGAAAACCCAAAATAAGTCTTAGAATTATATCCTTCAAAAATCTTTCTAGACCATTCATGAAGAAAAGTACCTTATATACGCATTTGCAAAGCTATCTCTATACAATTAGCATACTGTTTACATGAAGTAAAATAAAGACTCATAACTTCTAACACTAGTCTTCTGGCTTTTCAAAACACTGGGTAATAGAATAACAAAATATTCTGACTGGTTAGCTCACTAAATTTTCACAATGCCTCTAAAATATTGGCCAGTCAAAAAAATTAGTAAATAACAATATCCTTCGTCAACTTATCCTTTTTATTTATTGACTCAATGATAAACTTTCCACCAGATAAAGAGTATTTTAAATTACTTATAATAATTTTTAAGATTATGATGTATCAGAAACCTTTTGCAGAGTTTTAATGCACTTCAACATTATTGCAACAGGTAGGGTAGGTTTTCACCAATAAGAAAACTGAGTTTGAGAGGTTACATGATTTTTCAAGGTCTCACTGCCAGAATCCACATGCAAAACTCTGGATGTGCTGGCACCTATTTACTTTTCGAGCCCCACCTCTCACTACTTGAAGTATTTTTTTTTTTTTGTACCTTTTTTTCTAACTTGAGCCACAATGAACTCTTCCAGTTCTTAGAGGGTCTCTAACCATCTCTTCCCTCCAGATTTTGCACACAAATTGCAGTTCTCTATCTAAACACTGTTAGCTTCTTCCCTGATTTATAATGAATTGTCCCTCAATCTTTAGGTGACAGTCAAATAACAAAAAATCTGATTTTATAATTTTTAATAGAAAAATTAAATTTCCTTTCCTTTCAAATTTGTTCTAAAGCCACTTTCTCTGGTCTTTAAGATCTAACATCCTGGACAGCAATAGATTCTCCCTTATTACAAATTCATTAATGCTGTGGGTTATGCCAGAAATTATACTTATTTAGTAATTGCTTGATTTAACTATTATTAAAAGTATAATACCGGTAGTAATAATTGCTAGATGTAAAACTAGGAGCATAACTAATAGTTAAATGAAAAAATGATAATTCTTAAAACCTGGAAACTAGCAAAATTAATTTTAATAGAAATGTAATTAAAAAAAAGAAAAAAAAAGAAAGTACAGAATAGGGAAATAATGGAAACATTTTATGTGGAAATTAAGGGGTTTATTTCTCTGAAAGCTCAATATGAACTAACTACACAATTGTCAACAAAAATAATGCAATGCTAGTTTACTATAAAATGATGCATTATTTTAATTTTGTACCCTGCTATTTTATTGAATTCATT